CCAAAAAACATATACTGACAAAATAGACAACATTTTCAATTCAAAAACTCTTTTTGTTGCTAAATTATTTAATAAATAGACATATACACTCAACAACAATGCTATTTATTGTTCTAATATGTTATTTGGGTTATTGCTAAAGTACCCATTCATCTCTGAAATGTGTGTCAGGAACAAATGATCATTCATGTAACTTCTTTGAAAAAACTACTTAAAAATAAATATGGAGGCTGATATCAGTCTTCTGGATGTTGGTGCTCATGTTTAGCACTGAGATCCTCTTTCAGACTTGAACAGCTCTGCAGACAGTCTATCTTCTCTTAGCACACCTTGAATGCATCAGCAGTCTCTTCCTGTATTCATTGAAGATGTGCGGCTTTATCATACATGCTTGTTATTTCCTCAGGCTCCAAATCATCTCAGCACTTTGTTCGTGAAGTCATGTCCCAAATCAATCATCAGTCTCACAGCTCTCAGGATCAAAGTATCAACATCTGAACATGTCTGGATTTCGTGACTATAGTTCTTCACAGGAAGGATGCAGTTTATTGGAATCCCCAAGCTTGAACTGAATTCAGAAATCTACATAAAAAAAGAAAAACATTTTTCTTTTTGAGTCAGTTGTTAAAAGTGATTGAGTTTCTTAAAAGTTCAACTGAAACTCACTTTTTTCTTTAAATATTTGCTCCTGTAGACATTTCTTAAATTTGTCTTGGTATCAATACACGCCTCGTCAATGTTTGTGAGAACAGCCAGTTGAGGAACACCTATGGATACAGAAATGGATCTGTTATTGGAAGAGTGACATTTATATTAAAACTGAAGAATAAATGATTGCCAGTAATTCAAGTCAAACTCATATCCAGAATCATTATTAAGTCAGGGTGAAATTTTTCATGTCATCATTTCAGCCTGTGGCTCAAGAAGCAAAATGTAGTGAATGCCTTCAGCTCATCTGTGTTGTTGATTATGGTGTCACTAATATTCCTCTTGGCAACAATCTATAGATCACACAAGGAGCTCAGATCAAGACACATTGATAGCCATAACAATATATGGCTGTCAATGTGTCTGCGGCGCCGTAACACCGCCACAGAACAACACAAAAATGCAGAACCCACAATGTTTGCTATTCATGAGAGTGAGGCGAATGCAGCACGTATAGAGAGAGATGGAGCTACAATGTCAAAAACGGAGCTGTTTTTTTAAAACTGCGACCTGGTTTCAAAATCGACAGTTTCTGGTCTTCAAAGACACCAAATCCATGTGGTCTAACAGAATAAATGACAAAAAAAACTCCGGTGGATACACCTAAAATGTCTCTGTGGGTTATTCTATACGAATCTGTGTGGTATCAACTTCACTTTTGCACTGAATTGCTGAAATGAATCCCACTTTCCATGACAATCTAAGTTAAGCTTAATATGGATCAATTTAGACATTTCTTTTCCAGCAAAGTTATTTTTTCCTTAATTATTAAAAAATAAACATACTTCTGTTTTTGTTTTTAAATTAATATTTTTTTTCAGGTTATGGTTTGTTTCTTACCCATACAACTGGCAGCTTCTCTGATTTCCCTCAGTTTCAGTAAAATGGAGGACTTCATTTCTGGTGCATTTGCATTATGAACACAAACCATAACATGGACTCTGTCGTTTAGAGATGGGGACGAGTTGTAGTCAGGATCCCCATTAGACAGTGGAGCCAGAGGATTGAACTGTAACTTGTAAAAAAATGGTAATTTATGTATCTAAGGATTTGACAGATAAATTAAGTTTTTATTGTTTTGCTGACAAAGTTACTTGCAGTTGGAGGCAATAAGAACTTTTTGCTAATTATACCTTGTATCCCTCCTTTACGTGCCCCATCATAGCCAGCTTGATGTCGTGTGTGTGGATTCCTCTTCCATATCCTTCCTCCAGGCCCATGGTGTCATTGAGCACAAGGCAGTAATAGTTTCCTTTGCCTCCTTTCCGGATCCAATGAGCTGAATACTGACAGACAATATGTCAGAAAACAGCCACCAGCAAGAATCAGACAGAAAGCAGCAAAAGAAAACCACCGATGTCCTAAATGTTCTCCCTAGCTCCTTATTTCAAGCATTATTTTCTGTGACAAATAACAAATGATCAAAAATCTTGTGTTATCAGATATAATGCAACATTTATATCAACTAGCTTAGGGCAGGTGTCTCTGAACATGTTTAAAAGACTTAAGGGGCTTCCAGCTCATTGGAGATGGTTTTAAAATATGTGCTGACTTTAATTTTAGGTTTTAATGTTTGACATTGTGTCTGAAACCGTTTCTGTGTTTCCCTCTGGACCAGGATCCTTTAGGGAAAAATATTTTTTAAATCTCAGCAGATGTGTTTCAGTGACCTTAAAATTGTGCAGATACGAATTACGACAATAAATTTACTTAATGGGAACATGCTAATTTCAAAAGACTATTTTTTTTGCAAAAAAATAAGTTTTTTGTGCTAGGAGGAGATGGTTTTTCGGCTGTATTGAAATTAATACAGACATCATAAAACTTTGTTGCAAGATTAACAATCGGATGTTATTCCTCCTGGAAAAGACAAAGAAGATGACACGAAGTGGTTGGAGGATCCTGGTGCGGTTTGTTTTTAATGACTTATCATGTGAACAAACTTATTCATGTGATTTTAAGTGTTTTTCTTATGTAATCGAAACACTGCAATTGTGAAATTGCGGTTTTTGGGACATTAGCAGAACATTAGCAAATGACGGTTTTCTGTTTAAACAATTAAATTACAAGGGTCGGAGGTCAGTATTTGGTGAAATAATCCTTTTAATTTCTCTTTCCCTTTGCAGCTGGGCTCCTCTGAAAGGTATCTTTCAACCGCTAAAATCTGATGCCACTCCGTTTCCGTTTTTGAAAAAGGAAGTTGCGCTTCTGTCTTCTTCAGTGGTTCTTGGTGCAGCGCCCCCACAGGCGAGGAGGTTTATTAAGAGCCTGTATCATTTGACACAGAGCAATATGAAAGTGAACCACAATCAGCTGAAAATCTAACAAATGTTGCAATTTTGGTCCCAATAGAACCAAGACTACTGGACTATCATGTGTGAAAACACACTCTCTCCTTTTGAATTTTGCCTTTGTCAATGTCACCTGCTGGCCGTAATAGGTATTACAGCATGATTGACTGCTGTAAATAAACGCAGTCAATCATAGTAATGTGTTTTTCTTTAACTGGAAAACAATATCTGTTGAAAATATCCAGACAAACATAGCCTGACCTTCAATCTCTCTCACTAGTGAAACTTCCCAGATGAAGCTTGAAGGTTATTGGACCATCTACATCTTCATCTCTCTCTCTCCCTCAACTGTGACTAAACCAGCACTCACATGTTGGTCACATGTTGTTGTGTACATGAACAGCACCTTACCTTTTAAAACTATAAAATATCTAAGTGACACAAGATTGTAACCATTTTGTGTCTCAAAACAAGGAAAATGTATATTCACCTTCTTGGAAAAACTTTGCCCTGAACTGTTAGCAGCACTAGCCAGAGCTTCACAGGTCATTCTCCTCCGCAAAGCATTACTGACAGAGGTGATGAAGCTGGACTTCCCAGCACCGACCGGTCCATACAGCAGAACTCTGATGTGCCTGACTTCGTCATTTACTGGTCGAAAACTGTCCACATAACGCAGATCTCTGTTATTGTCACTGTTAAAATGGAGAAAAGGCAAATAGGACAGAAGTTTAAGTGGACACATTGCTGCCTAATTAGTTTACAGGACATTAAATGCACTATTTTAATGTGATTTTGTGCAGAATATTATTTCTGCATTTCCCAAGTCTAAATAACTAATTATAGATGAAGATCTTTATGTGCAGGACGTCAAAATAATACGAAAGAACCATCATTGGCATATAAACACATTCACTCACCCCCAGGAAACGTTCATCCAAGGATAAGCTAAAACTGTAAAAGAGAAATTTAGAGTAAATCATTTTCTTAAAAGTCAATCTGCTAAATGTTCTGCTACATTGAGCATATAAAAAACAAGATTAAAAATAAGAACGGTGAGTAAAGAGTCTAGCAGGTAAAGCACAATGCTCAATTTTATTTTCAGTGAAAGCATCAAAAAGTAAAAATCTTTTACTCACGTGGGGAAGGTGGAGGAGCTAAAAACAAGAAAAATGATAAATTATTTTAGGTTTTCAAACCATATTTTTAAGACTAAAGAAACATAAATGTAAAAAGAAATCATGGTTGTAAAAATATATCTTTAAATTGAGAAGTATAACAACATGCTGGGGTAGGGAATTTTTTATTTTAAATAAATAATTTATTTGCAAAGATTTTAAATACTTTTATCAGTGAAAGCATTAATAAAATATTTTGCCTGCATGGGAGAGGTAAAAACAAGAAAAATAATAAATAATAAATAAATAAAAAAATCCTGATTGTAAAATATATTTTTAGATATATATTTTTAGAATCAGAAAGTGTAAGGAAGTTTAACAATTACAACATGCTGGAGCAGGAAAAAGTTATCTTAAAGAAAGGATTTATTGACACAGATTTCTGATACGACATGCTTGACAAAAGTATGAAAGTTTTAAAAACAAAGTGAAGTGAGTTTGCTAAGCCACGTTATAGCAGAAAACATTTGACTGTCACTTTGTTAGGTTTCACCTTGTTAGAGTTGGACTCCCTTCTTCCTTCAGTTTCCTTCACTGTGTGTCATGAACCTTCATCAGGTATTTTAGTCCATATTTACATGATAGCATTACACAGTTACTGCACATTTGAAGGTTTCATCATAAATCCCACCTTCTGTCACATCCCAAACGTCCTCTGTTAGACTAAACGTTACTACGAACCCTAAAGTTTGTCCAGAAACCCCGTTTCCTATTCTTACATTTACTTTGTTTTGCTTCTGCTGAAGACCAGCCGCTTTATAGGTTCAACGTTTTGGATATTTAGAGGTGCTATTTTGCATAATTTAACTTGAACGAGTGGTTCTTTCAGCTTCTGTCATCCAGAACTGGTCAGCCCATTCTCAAACAATCTTTGAAATCAACTACCATCTGAACAGTTATCAAAACTGAGGGTTTCTTTTTATACCGTTTGATGTAAAGCTGAGTAAATCAGCAGTTTCTGACATTTTCATTTATCTGACAGCAACAACCGTGTTACTATCAAACTCACTTCATCACCCTTTCTTTCTAGTTTGATGCCCATATTAAGCTTTAGGAAGTCAGCTTTCACTGTGAGTTGCTGCTATCTGATCTGATTAAAGCTCGTTTTAAAACCCATCCATTTTACTTGGCTTTCAACTCCAGCGGGATCTAGTTTTAAATTGTATTTTGTTTGTTTGTTTTTAAACTGTAAGAGTTGTTTTGTTTTGTTGTTTTTTTTTATTGTTATGTTGTGTTTTAATGTACAGCACTTTGTATCAGCTGTGGTTGTTTTAAAGTGCTTTATAAATAAAGTTGGTATGGTGGATTTGCTTTTTGCGGAAACACAATTGCAAGAGTGTACATAATAAAGTGGCCAGTGTGCGTACATCTCATGCATATGATTTTATAGTATTTACTTACGAGGTACTGAAGTATGGAGAGCCATTTGCTTTAACCCATTTATTTATTTATTTAATTTTGGCGCAAATGGCTCTCCATACTTCAGTACCTCGTAAGTAAATACTATAAAATCATATGCATGAGATGTACGCACACTGGCCACTTTATTATGTACACTCTTGCAATTGTGTTTC